CGAAGAGCCAGCTCCGCGACGCGTTGATGAACTAGCTCCACGACGACACATGGAGGAGCGGCAGCCGGCCCCGCGCCGGTACCCTGACGAGTCGGCCCTGGTCGAGAGGCTGCAGAGAAGAATCGAGGAGTTAGCAAGAAGGGTGGAGGCATGGGAGCAGTCGCCGGAACCCGAGGAACGGATGACAGCACCATTCTCCCCAAACATCATGGACGTACCTTTGCCGAGGGACTTTAGGTTGCCCGCTATCAAGGAGTACACGGGGGCCACTGACCCACGTGTCCACATGACGAGGTACAAGGCTGCTATGGTAATGATCGGGGCAGGGGACGCCATCATGTGCCGAGCGTTCTTGTCCACCCTGGATGGAGCGGCCCAAGACTGGTTCAACACCATCCCAGATGGGTCGATCCAAAACTTTGGGGAGTTGTCCAAGAGCTTCCTAACATACTTCTCCGGTAGCATACATCGTAAGAAACCCTTCTCTCACCTCTGTGTAGTGAAGCAAGATAGAGGCGAGAGCCTAAAAAACTTCCTGATCAAATGGAAAAAGGAAGTCAATAATGTCTACGACTTCAACTCCAAGGCGGCGATCCCAATATTTATCCATGCCTTAAGATCAGGGTATTTCCACAAGCAGCTGAACGCCCACCACCCCCGTTCTTACGAAGATTTGATGAGGACGGCTAGCCGCTATGCCGAGGCAGAGGACGTCGACAGGAAAAAGAAAGATGAGGAGGACGACAGGAAAAACGGGAAACCTGGGAAAGCTGGTCCGCCCAGCCAGGCACCACTCTCGAACCACCTGACCGCAGGGAAGGGCCGAGACTACGAACGACCTCGCCTGGTCCCCTTGCGTAATTTAACTCCTCTTACCCATCCCGTCAGTGTCATTCTAAAGCAAGCTGAGGAGATGTGAATGGTAGAATTCCCCGAGGAGTGCATGAAGGTCTCCCCAAAGGCAAACCAAACAAAGTACTGCAGGTTTCATAGGCATGCCGGATACGATACGGATGAGTGTCACGTTTTGAAGAGACAAATAGAAGACCTCATCCAACAGGGCTACTTCCGACATTTCGTCAAGCGATCCAAGCAGCAGCAACAGCCGCAACACAATCCACCAAAAAATGTCTGGATGAATGAGGATGGCACCGAGCCGTCCACCTCAAACGCCAAAAAAAGAGACCACGACCAAATATCTGAGCAGAGTGATAGCGAGAAAGAAACCGAGGTGGCGCCCAGACGACAAAAGAAGCACACCATACACTTTATCTATGGTGGACCCGCAGGGGGCGACACGCCCGCAGAAAGAAAGAAGTGGAGCCGACAGATATACGTGGGAGAAGTGGCAAGTCTTCCTAGAGAAAAGAAACAGAGACAGGAGGCCATCACTTTCTCTAATGATGACCTCCCAGAGGGCCCGCTACCCCATCGTGACGCCCTGGTGATTGAGATGGACGTCAACGATGTCATTATCCGCCGCATCTTAGTCGACACGGGAAGCTCAGTCAATATGATGTATTACGATGCCTTCACCAAGTTAGGGATACCTAGGAACCAGCTCAAAGAAGTACGTACCCCACTCTCTGGATTTACGGGTGATTCAGTGGAGACGGAGGGGTCGGTGGCCTTACCAGTGGAGATAGGCACGAGCCCTAACATTCGCAAACTTGACATGGAATTCATCGTGGTAAGACTCACTTGTGCGCACAACATCATTTTGGGGAGGCCGGCACTGGAGGACCTCAAGGCCATAGTGTCGGTGGAACACTTGTGTATGAAGTTCCCTACTCCGAATGGGATAGGGGTCGTCAGAGGAAACCAGCGAGCAGCCCGCAGTTGTTACGTAAAAGCATGCAAAAAGATTGGCGGAAAGAATCCACAAGCCCACACCATTTGCAAGGATGATCGATCGGGTACGGAACTCAGAAAATTTAATTAGATATTATCAGTAATACGATGTAGTCGTGGCCCGCCCAGACCTGTAAACAATATTTAGTAATCATGGTCCGCCCAAGTTACTTCGCTCTCAAATAAAAAGGTTTTCAAAACCACATTCAATCAACCACGGCCGTCACTACACTCTAAAAAAAAAAAAGGCCGAGGCGCGGCGCCTCGATAAAAAATAAAAATAAAAAAATAAATAAATAAAAAGGGGGTCGGGCAGCGTCTCAGCCACTCCTGGTCGAGGCGACGCCTCGGTCACTCGAAAAAAAAAAAAAAAAAAAAAAAGGGTCGTGGCGCACGCCTCGGCCAAGTGGCTGAGGCGACTCCTCGGCCACTCGAAAAAAAAAAAAAAAAAAAAAAAAAGGGTCGAGGCGACGCCTCAGCCACATGGCCGGGGCACACGCCTCGGCCAGATGGCTGAGGCCGCGCCTCCGCCCAAGGCCGAGGCGCACGCCTCCGCCCAAGCGCCTCGGCCTCCTGGTCGAGACGACGCCTCGGCCACTGGAAAAAAAAAAAAAAAAAAGGGGTCGAGGCGCACGCCGCGCCCAAGTAGCCGAGGCGACGCCTCAGCCACATGGCCGGGGCTCACGCCACGGCCAGATGGCTGAGGCCGCGCCTCAGCCCAAGGCCGAGGTGCACGCCTCGGCCACTCGAAAAAAAAAAAAAAAAAAGGTTCGAGTCGCACGCCTCGGCCAAGTGGCCGGGGCGCACGCCTCGGTTAAGTGGCCGGGGCGCACGCCTCGGTCAAGTGGCCGGGGCACACGCCTCGGCTAGATGGCTGAGGCCGCGCCTCAGCCCGTGTGCCTCGGCCTCCTGGTCGTGGCGACGCCTCGGCCACTCAAAAAAAAAAAAAAAAAAAGGTTCGAGTCGCACGCCTCGGCTAAGTGGCCGGGCCGCACGCCTCGGTCAAGTGGCCGGGGCGCACGCCTCGGTCAAGTGGCCGGGGCGCACGCCTCGGCCAAGTGGCCGAGGCGACGCCTCTGCCACATGGCCGGGGCACACGCCTCGGTTAGATGGCTGAGGCCGCGCCTCAGTGCGCCTCGGCCTCCTGGTCGTGGCGACGCCTCGGCCACTCAAAAAAAAAAAAAAAAAGAGGCGCCCCAACTCGAAGCGCACGCCTCGGCCAAGTGGCCGAGGCGACGCCTCTGCCACATGGCCGGGGCACACGCCTCGGTTAGATGGCTGAGGCCGCGCCTCAGTGCGCCTCGGCCTCCTGGTCGTGGCGACGCCTCGGCCACTCAAAAAAAAAAAAAAAAAAGAGGCGCCCCAACTCGAAGCCGGCCCACGCCGCAAAAAAAAAAAAAAAAAAAAAACAGGTAACGTTAAACCGCAGAAATCAACGGATGGTGACAAGAGCTGATAGAAAGGTGCTCAAATTGTTTAGGCAGGAAGGGATCTGGGAAACAAAATCGCATATCCTAACTCAATCAGGATGGCACAGTATCACGATTGATTCAGCCTTACTTCCAAGTCAACTCAAACACATTCGTAGACTCAGGAGTAGGGGGACTGGTGACAGGATAATAGGGCTAGCACCCGATCCGGATCATAAGTGTGCATCTGACCCGGCACCATAGTTGACCCGACACCGCATGGATGCTCCAACGGTTAGAATTCCAACAGATGTCACATCTAATGTCATTGAAGCCACCATTGATGCCACCATTGATGAGAGAGAGTTAAAGCCTCAACGCCTCATTCATGACTCTTCATATTCTTGCCGTTAGCTCAGCTCCCGAAGGATGTCTCTTCATGTTGTTACCGTTAGGACCTAGCATAAATAGAACTTCCCTCAACTGAGCAGGACACACTGTACTTTCTATACTGAGACAAAGGCAATACAACTATTGTTACCCTCTTATAGCATTATTATATTATTATTACCGGTAACGTTATTATCGTCAGTTATGCTGTGGGCTCGTGCCCAGCGTGCTTCATGGGCACGGATAACGGTGCCGTCTTTCTATACTCAGGCACCGTTATCTTCCCTGTACTTTCTATACTCAGGCACCGTTATCTTCCCTTTTTTTTTTTTTTTTTTTTTTTTTTTTTTTTTTAAATTTAATTTCAGATCGCTTCGTTATAGGAGCATATATTCACAGCTTTGTGTTTATAATTTCATAACTGTACATTCATAATTCCATAACTGTACATTCATAATTCTATAATTGTACATTCATAATTCCGTAATTGTACATTCATAATTCCGTAACTGTACATTCATAATTCAATAACTGTAAATTCATAATTTTCGAAGCTCTATGTTCATAATTGTAAGTTCATAATTGTAAGTTCATAATGTCAGAGTTCTATGTTCATAATTTCATAACTGTACATTCATAATTCCATAACTGTACATTCATAATTCCATACTGTATATTCATAATTCCATACCGAACATTCATAATTTTCGAAGCTCTATGTTCATAATTCCATAACTATACATTCATAATTCTATAACTGTACATTCATAATGTCATAACTGTATATTCATAATTTCATAACGAATATGCCGTTAACGCCGTTAACGGCGTTTCGAACAAATTTTTTTTTATAGTTAAAACAGCGTCGTTTTCCGTGAAAACGACGCCGTTTTAGCGCCGTGCGCACCTTGCAAGGTGCGCACAGCATAATTTGCCTCTAAATAAAGAAGTCGGAGGCTTCTTTTTTCCTGCCCATCCGATGGGCCAGAATGAATAAGGGGCGTTTAATGGGGAGCTCAACGCCTCCATTGCTTCACATTTCGATGTGGGATCAAAGATCCCACATCAATTTTAGTTTTTCTTTTTTTTTTTTATAGTAATTTATTATTATTATTATTATTATTATTATTATTATTATTATTATTATTATTATTATTATTATTATTATCCTCTTGATCATTTTACATATTAACCGTTAATCTAAACAACTAATTTTATCAAATGTTTTTTTACAAACTGCTAGTATAATTCGATGGTCAAACACACTAATACAATTCACATTTTGATAACCGCTAATACAATCCGCTAACCGCTAACCGCTGATAACCAAACACGCCATTTTATCTCGAGAAGGGAATAATGCTGATTACGTGTTTACTTAAACTGGAGTAAGGGTTTACGAAGAACAATAAGGTTTTCTCTCTCTCTCTCATTCTCTCCTTGACTCCTTCGGTGGTAAAATGGTGGCAAAGAAGGGCGGAGGTAGAGGCGGAGCCGATGACGTGGAGGAGGAGCTCGCCCGTATTCCCTTACAGGCCATCGTGTTGGCAGATAGCTTCACCACTAAGTTCCGTCCCATCACTCTCGAACGACCCAAAGTAAAACCCTCTCCCTCATACATATCATTGTTTTTTTTAATGTTAAGTATTATTAGACTTTTTTTTAATATAATTCTTGTGCCTTTTATCTTTGCGATTGGATTTTGATTGAAGGTGCTATTACCGTTGGTTAATGTCCCTATGATTGATTATACCTTAGCCTGGCTGGAATCTGCTGGGGTTGAAGAGGTTTTCGTTTTCTGCTGTGCTCACTCTAAACAAGTGATAGATTATCTGGAGGACTCCAAGTGGCTCGGGCAGCCAAACTTTGTTGTCACCACTATAGAATCACATAATGCTATCAGTGCTGGGGATGCTTTGCGTGTGATATATGAACGAAATGTGGTATGTGATGACTTTTTCAGTTTTCATTTTAAAATTTCCTCTGCTTCGGATCATCCGTTTCTTTTTCTTTACAGAAAGTTTTAGGAGCCTAACTATTTTCTACTATTTGTGTAGTACTTTCATTGTGTTCTTGCTTTGATCATGCTTGCTTTTGTTATGATTTTTGTTCTAACAGGGTATTTTGAAGCTAATAAACTAAGATGTGTTATGAAAGTGAGATAATAGTATAGATCTGATTATAGCACTTTATAGTTCATACTCCTAGGAATTTGCTGTAATAGAAGAAGCAGAACGCTGTTTAGATTTCCTTGACTCTGCATTTACTGAAAATAGAACTTTGAATTGCAGAATGCCAGAATGGAACCCCTGAGCTAACCTGATAAATATATTGTGCATGTTAGTGAATATAGGCCTTTGAGATGTAGATGAAATTCTGAGAGGGAAGAAAGCTACTGTTGATACCTAATACATTTTTCCTTACTGAGAGGGAAGAAAATTTATGAATTTTTTCCCTTTCTTCATTCCAAGTCCCGCTCAGTATCAGTGTATTTTCTATTGCTTCATGCAAAACAAACTTTTCTGTTGATATGATTTGTACCATCACGCTTTTATTATAAAGCTTCCTTCCACTTGATTTTGAGAGAAATGCTTTGCATTTTTGGAGTGAAGAGTTCTTCTGTTGAATTGTCAGCTGAACTCCAGTTCTTAGGTTCTCTTTGTCTTCTCTCTTTCAAATGGATTGTTATACCACTTTCTTTCTTTTAAGGGTATTTGCTATTCACATCTAGTTTCTTTCCCTTTCCCCTCAACCTGGCTACTATACTGCAGTTTAATATGCGGCTTAATTGCTTAAAGGTGGTGCTTTTTAACCATTCTTTATTATCTGCGCTTTCTCTATCTACTTTCTAGAGAAAAATTATTAGTTAAAAAGCACAAATATATCGGTGACTTACTGAAGAGTTACTATTTCTTTGACAGTACTTTTTTTTTTTTTTTTTTTTTTTTTTTTTTTTTTTTTTTTTTTTTTAAACCCGATAAGTTCATTTAAAGTACAGTAAACAGAATACTTATAATGTCTAGATGAATTTCCAAGATAATTTCTCTTCTCTTATATTCTTGTTCCAGTGATTTCTAAATATAGAGTTCTTTTTTCTTTCCTGTGCTTTTGAAGATACACGGAGATTTTGTCCTAGTTAGTGGAGATACAGTTAGCAACATGTCGCTTACAGAAGCATTGAAGGAACACAAGGAAAGGCGAAGAAAGGATAGCAATGCTGTGATGACCATGGTCATTAAGCAGTCAAAGCCATCACCAATCACTCACCAATCTCGTCTGGGAACTGAGGAGCTTTTTATTGCAATTGAACCTGAAACGAAACAGCTTCTTTACTATGAGGACAAGGCAAATGATACAAAAGGATATCTGTCTCTTGAGAAGGGACTGCTTGCAGATAATCCTTCTATTTCCCTTCACAATGACAAACAGGTTGCTTTTGGCCTTCAATTATCTGCTTTGCCCTTTAAATATGTTATATCTATATGTAAATTGTTCTTAACTAGTTCTAGTCATGTGACTGATGCTTATTGTCCTGACGGCTAACCTTTTCCATACTGGTGGTGGTACCTCTTTTTGAAATGGAATAAAAGATGGAAACTTTGGTAGTAAATTAGCTGTGTAATATGTTATCCATGTTCTATCCTCTAGCAACAAATGGAACCTTACATAGCTTAGTTAGTGCTATTGATATTTTTGGTGATGGTATGTGCATTTTATCATTCCCCTTGGTGGAAATTATTAGAGTATTATTTGAATTTTACGCATATAAGTTTAGACTTTAGAGTCACTAACAAACTCTTGATCTGGTTGACTAACCTTCCTAAATTAACCTGTCCTGATTACTTTTACTTAAATTAACCAATCATTATATTTGTATCATTGTGAAATTATATTGATTGATTTCAAATGAACCTAGCCTAGCTGATGCCTTTTAGTATTATCAATTTCTCAAATATTTTAATGGGGCATTTGGTTCAAATAAAAGAAATGATGAACTGGAATTAATTTTAGCAAAAATTATTATTTTTATTTAAATTTGGGAGTGGAATCAATTATAATTTTTTATTTTTTCATTTTTGCTCAATTGTGTCTCCTCCATCTCCAACACAATCACTATTGCATCCCTAACATAGTGACACTGTTCATTGGTTGGAGAATGGGGGAGAAGAGAAGGGAATCGGAGAGAAGGCAGAAGCTGGAATTGATTCTGAGTTGTTATTGTTACATAATATGGGGAATAGAGTTTTTAATTCCTTCTTCCATTATCTTCCTGATATTTAAAAAAAAAAAAGCACCAGCAATGATTTTCAATCTGAATCCTACTCTTCAAATCCCCAACCAAATGCCCCCAAATTGTTTAACTTCGTTTTACCTTCAGCATCTTATTACTTTTCTGGTCAGCATAGCTTCCTTTAATGGATGCGATTTTAGTTTCTTGTACTTAATTGGTGTTAAACATAGTCTTTGCCCTTGTAAAATAATTGGGAACAATAAACTTCATATTTACTACACTGCTTTAACACATTTTATTTTTGCAAATCCCTTAAATCATCAACTTACTTTGTCTGAGAAGTTCAACAAATTAAAGAAAAAAATCTCATTCTTTGTACTCATTGCCATGGTGTTTTGTTCTTCGCAGGATTGCTATGTTGATATATGCTCTCCGGAAGTTTTGAGTCTTTTCACCGATAATTTTGACTATCAGCATCTACGCCGTCATTTTGTTAAAGGGTTGCTTCTTGATGATGTATGTAAGAGTTATGCATGCTATATATCTTAGAGTATTAATTTGAACACATCCTCCCTCAAGTGAAAAATGAAAAAGGAAATAGTTTGAAGAGGAATTTCCTTCTTGTATGTTTTTTCTGGTGAAAATCTTGAATGAGTTGAATCTATTTATTCATGTGAACACCTATTTATATGGACACAATGTCTGTTGATCAGCTATTTATTTCTTTTTGTCTGTTATCTTGTCTCTGTTTTAGGTGCATCTGAGTAGAACATTACTAGAATATTTTCTGTGGTTTCTCATAAAACTCTATCTGCAGCCTTTAAAAAATGAGTACAAATATTTGGAAATGAATATAAACAAATGGTTTTTCCCCCATTAATTGCATGCTTACACTTAAGAAAAGTAGAAAACCTTGGAGACTGGCTTTTTAGTAAGAAATTTAAAAATTGACAAATTTGTATGGTACATGTACCAAAGATATAATATCGATTTTACCTTGGATATTGAATGATAGCACTTGTTCTGGCTTAATGTTGGAACTTTCTACTATGCACTTAAAATGAGACCATCCCTCTGTCCTTTTTTGACTTTGTTCCTTTCCCTCTGTTGTATCTCTAATGTTTTTTTTTTTTTTTTTTTTTCCTGCTCTCAGATTATGGGTTATAAAATTTTCACCCATGAAATTCACTCAAGTTATGCGGCTAGAATTGATAATTTCAAAAGTTATGACACTGTTAGCAAGGACATCATTCAGAGATGGACATATCCCTTCGTTCCTGATGTCCAATTTTTTGGAAATTCTGCAACTAAACTTGAAAGGAGGGGTGTGTATCGAGCATCTGGTAAGGAACATCTTAATGTATGCTCTTGCTTCTGTATGAGCATTATGTTAAAAAAAATTGTTTGGCTTGCATAATTATAGTTGGCAAGCAGAAATAAATGTCCGTATGCATGTATGCAATACATTATGAGAACATAACTGTAGAAATAACATTTGTTTTGACCATTTTATTTGGCATCTTGCTGACCATGATATGTAATTTAATATTTTCAGAAGTGAAACAGTCTCGTTCAGCAAAGATTGGCCCTTTTACTGTGATTGGGAATAACACTAGTATTGGCAACAACACGGAGATTTCAAATTCAGTTATTGGGGAAGGTTGCATAATTGGATCACATGTTAAAATAGATGGTTGCTATATATGGAACAATGTTACCATTGAAGATGGATGCAAATTGAAGCATGCAATTGTATGTGATGGAGTGATAATGAAGTCAGCAGGAGTTTTGGATCCTGGTGTTGTTTTGTCATTCAAGGTACTTAGAGAGATGGTTTTTGAGTTTTTCATACATTCTATGTGCATTAGTTGTGCCTCATATCCCTTGTGAATGGATAAACTAAACAAACACACTAAAATAATCATGCTTGATTTTGGGTACATGGGTTTGGGTTTTAGCTGGATAGTACTAGTAGGCTAAGGCCGCCAAGTACCTCCTAGACATTAGGCTTTGGTTGATTGGTTCAATACCCATCTCCCAATCCCCTCAGGTATATAAAATAAAGTTTAAAAAAATGCTAGATTTGAATGTCATAAAGTGTTCCATTTTAACATTTGTGCTCACAGTTATATGATTTTTGATGTTACTAGAATTTAAGAACATGCCCATTGTGGTGTGCCTATCTTTGCATGTTGAGAATTGATGCATATTGCTTGTTTCTCATGCCATGAATTTGTTGATCTCTTTCATAGTGTGAGATTTTGGTCTTCTCCATTCCTTTTGAATCATATCATTCCTGGCATCATATCCAGGTTGTGGTTGGGCAGCATTTTCTTGTTCCTGCATACTCAAAAGTGTCTTTACTTCCGCAACCCATAAAGCAAGATAGTGATGAGGAGCTGGAGTATGCTGACAACAGCAGTGGTATTACAGTAGTTCTGCTTAACTTTTCTGAGTGCCTTAGAAATTTTTTCTTTCATAGTCATATAAACTGCAGTATTTTAGTTTCTTAAACTGAGTGGCATAGCTAGTGTAAGATGATCCTATTGCAAATAAGTCTTTTCTACAGAAAATGAATATGTTTTTTTTTTTTTTTTTTTTTTTTTTTTTAAGGATGGTTTTATCATTAAAGGAATGAATTTAACATCTTCTGAAAGAGGACTGATTTTCCTCTTGTTTGTGTGCTCTAGCTATGTAAATCTGGTTTTATTGTATTTTAGATCTTGAAAGATCTTTTTAAAGTTCTAATCTAGTTCTTGCTTGATCTTAGTTCAGCAACAGCATATTTTCTAGGGTAGGGAGGGGATATTATAGTAACCTCCAAAACAAAAGTATGGTACCAAAACTAGGCCACATAAATTCACATCTATGTTTGCCAATGTCTTCCCAACTTGGGTATTTCCCATCGTGATCTACTGGTCTTCTATTTCATGTGATTTCTGGACACTCTCATGTCTTGTGGAGGCATAGTTATGCATAAATCTTAGTTAAGTTGTTCATATGTAGCAATTTCAAGTACATCGGACAAGATGAATGAGGATACACGGACTGAACCATTGAACTTGCAACAGTGTGCTGCATTTCAGGTGGAGTAAAACTCCCTTTTCTTCTTTCCTGGTTGGATACATGATTACGAGTTTAGTATACTAATATTCTTGTGAATGTTCTTGCCCCCTCCTCCACCACTCTCCAAATAAATAAATAAAAATAAAGATTTATGGTATACTTCATACTGTGTATTCTGAGCTATAGGATCTTGATACTATTGGAATCTTAATAGCATCTTCAAAGTAGAGATGTAGTTATGATGATTGCTAGTTAAGCACATCAAATTACAAAATTTTTATTAAAAAAAAAAAAAAAGCTTTGCACTCACTCAGGATGTATAAGGTTGCATGGATGCAGCATTCTTTTCTCTGCGTTTTTTCCCCAAAAAATATGTTGAAATATAGGAAAACCAAAAAGGTGAAAACCTTAGCATAACCCTATTGTAGCCCTAGGTTTAGTTCATTATGCAGTTCAGGATGTTACTATAGAGGCATGTGTATCAGTATGAAATGTATGAATCTCAATATTACTAATATAATCTTTCTCTGGTTTTTATATATTAGCTTTTCCACTCAGTTGGATGTATTGCTCCTTATGATAAAAATGGTTTTGTATCTGTTGGTTGTTTATTTTCTTACCAGTTATTCAAGTTCCTCAGGTTGGCAATGGAGGAGTTGGGTACATATGGTCAGTTAGTGAGTATGGGCTCGATGATGAGTGGAAACATTCGGTTGCACCAATTCCTGCAGATAAGCTTGTTGGGATTACACAAACCCTTATTGATGAACTGGATGTTCCAAATTCAGATGGGAATATTCTTCCGCCTTCCGGAGAATTGGAACCCGACTCTGTGACTAATGATTCCATTGATGATGCTGAAGATATTAGGGACGAGTCTGTATTCTTTGAGAAAGAGGTAGGTATTTGCAAGAGTACTGAAAAGATGTGTGTTTCTGAAATAATATTAAATGTTTTATTTCTTTATGCAGGTTGAAGCAACTTTCCGAAGGGCTGTAGAAGAAAATGTAAAGCTTGACCATGTAATCTTAGAAGTCAATTCATTACGGTACTAATTTATTATCTATAGTTTGGTATAGCAATTTTTTAATGCACTGAGTTTAATTTATCTCCTTATTTATGTTTGATTTAAAAAATAATAATGAGAATATGTTAATCAAGGCACCTTAGAGGTACTGTTCAGAACACAAGCAGATTTAGATTGTCCAGAACAGAATCAGATTTAGATTGGGCCTCCAAACCAAACAAACTATAGACAATGTGTTCTGTAATACTGTTCAGTATCATAAAGTTCGTGAAAATATTACTTCTGTTAGAAATGTTCATATTTAATTTACACTTCCTTCCATCAACACTATCTCCAATTATTACTGCTTTGCCTTGCTAGGTATCATAAGATATCTCAGTTTAGATAAAGAGTTAACTTCATAGATTATGCCATAATTTAGCCAATGAAATATGGTGTTAACTACTCGCCACTATGTCCACCATGGCACACATTGAACACCATAAAGATACATGACTTAAATTTGTTCAGTCATTTCTTGATTTTTTTGACGATGACATTATGTGCTTTGAACCAAAACGTAGATCACTCTTAATATATGTTAGATACCAAACAATATTTATTCCTTTGTTTCTTAGAAATTGAAATATTCTGAGTAACTGTGAAATTTTGACCTATGTTTTATATTGGTTGCTGTTATATTATGTTTTCATTTGTTAAACATTTAAGTGTAGCCCTATGAGAACATGCAGAACCCCTATTTACATGTGTGTGTGTGTGTATATATATTGTACATGTATCTAGAGTAAACTATCAATAATATTATTTTCTTTCTCTAACATGATTGAAATTTTGGCGTATTAAGGCTTTAACTGAGTTGAGTGCCTTTAATTTTAGAAAGGCTTAGCTAAATTGAGTTGTAGATAAGCAATACTTTTAGATTGTGGGTAATTGATTCCCGTTTAACCAAAACCTTTGACATTATATCATATCCTTTATTGAATAAGTGTGTCTTATACTCTAATGTCTTTGTTTTCTCTTTTATACATCAGGTTGTCATCCAATATGGCCTCTGAAGATTGTGCTGGTGCATTGTTCTATTCAATTATGAAATTGGCATTGGATACTCCACACAATTCACCTCGTAATTCTTTTTCTATGTTCCCCTATAAATTTTCTGTTTGTTAATTGTCTCTTTTTAGGATTTTGTGCATTGTGATTATCATTTAGGAATTAGGATACAGTTCCTAAGTGAATTTTGCTAGTCAAAAATCAAAATTATTCAGTAAGTGGAGTTGAAAAAGAACCCAAAATTTGTAAATTTGGGATAGTGAATAAACTTTTACTTAATAATGGACCTAAATCTCTAAACTATTTGTCTGTCTCCTGGTTTCTGCTCCAACAAACAAATTTAGATTTGGAGGGTTCATGGAAATGCTCATGAAATATGTTCTTTAAAATATAATAGACAGCACGGCAGCACGCATTTATCTACATGCTCATCTACCTCTAGAAAAGTGTTGTGTCAGTGACACACTTATCTGGCATGTTCACATTTGATGACATTGTTTATTTTTCTTACAGTTGAACTGGTAAAAAATGTAGCAACTGTATTTACAAAATGGGGAAAACTTCTGAAGTATTATTTGCCAAGCATTGATGAGGAGGTTGGTGTATATCTTACATATGTTTGTTAGTTTGGTCTATCAATCCAAGCTTTTGGGTGATTTAGTTTCTTGGTTGAAATTAAGAATCCAAGTTTTTTATGGCATTTCAGCTTGGTATTTTTGTTATTATCTTGGATTCTTGCAGATTGAAGTGATATTGAAATTTGAAGAATTGTGCTTGGAATCTGCAAAGGAGTATTCTCCTTTGTTTGCACAGGTAATTTGACTATTGATACTGTTATAGTGTTATTTACCCCATCTGTGCGAAGAAATATAATATGCCCTGCTAAGTTTGCATCTTATAAGGTTTCTACTGCACTGTACTGTATTTGGTCAAGGCTTGACATGTTTCATTTCATTGAGTTCTGATGGAGTCTGTGATGTCTTTACAAGAATGAGATGTTTGAGAAAATATATTCCAAAGAGAAGTCTAAATTTCCTAGGCAGCAAATAATTTCAGATGCACTAGTATGATTAGTTTTTGGGAAAAGTTGATAGCACAAGTTCTTGGGAAATCTGTGAGGAAATTTGGAACATGTAGTCTCTAAAAAGAAGGAATTTCAGACTTCTTAGCATATTAGTCTCTAATCCTTTAAACCATGTTCTATTTGTTTCTTTCAACAATTATCACATTGTATTATAGGCAAGGTTGTAGAGGGTGCTAGGTGCCCCTACATATATGTTTTTTTTTTGCTTTCATTTAACATGTTAATTAATTAATTAATATTATAATAATAGATACCCTAAAGCAGTAAAGCCCTAGGCCCCAAATTGCAAAGTTATAAATCAAAAGTAAAAAATGAATTCTTCTTCGAGCTGCTGGCCTGCTGCGTATCTGTGATGGGCTGCGATGGATGGCTAGCGATGCTTCTGATGTTGTGATGCAGTGACACTCAGGCTTCTTTCGCTGCTCTATTTGGCGGTTTGAGGCTTAGATTTTGATTTGCTGCTCTGCATAGTTTGCACTAGCGATTTTAGGAATGTTTCGCTTAAAACTATGCTGTTTTGAGTGAAACAAACCTAATTATTTTTTTTAAAAAATGCCGAGTAGCCGCTGTGAGCAAACCAATTATATAGGCAATTATTGCCTTATGCGTCTTGGCCTAGGGGGGGCACCTAGCACCTAGGCCGAGTTTTGCAAAACTGATTATGCGCTGGTGGTTTCCTACATTTTTTGCATGGCACTCTCCAAACCAGAAGAAAGGCATATATGCATTAGCTCTTCCATTAACAACTACAAACATTTTTAATGATTCCTGTAGCCAGCTCACAGTGCAAAAATGGATGGTTGCCGATTCTTCTGTGCCTATTTTAGGTTTCACGTGCTGTTGAACCACTTTGTTCTATCCATTTAGGAGTTTGTCTGAAGTTCTATTGTAGAACTTGAGATGTTCATAGGACATTGTAAAACTAGATTCGATAATGGACAACCTGCACTTCCTTTTCCATGTTTCCTCCTGTCGCACATAGAAGCTGTCATGGCTTGAATCTTTGCTTATCTACCTTTCTACTCATTAATTGTCTCTTATACATTGAATATAGGTGCAGTTTTTGCGGACAGTCATCAATAAGCCTATGATGTTAATCCTTAGTTCATTTGAGCAAAGTGTTGCTGTTAATGTGACAGATAGATTTTTACAGGATGAGTTTGTGACTATTGCTGGGAAAAATGGACATATTCTATCAGAAAGCTTTTCATTGTGCATCATTTTGTTTCTTAAGTACTATGCGTCTATGAATTATGATGTTATTGTTACTCCTTGGCCAGATATTGCATCATCTTTATGACATAGACATTATCGAAGAAGAGGCTATACTTAAGTGGGCTTCTGAGAAGGAAGAAGCAGATGAATCAGATAAGGTTTTTGTCAAGCAGTCAGAAAAGTTAATTCAGGTAGGTAGATTATGTGCTTTAAAAGTTATGCTAAAATGCAGATCACCTGTGTTTAACGTAAAACCATGAAATCCTACTTAACGTATTGGAAAAAGAAAACAAAAAATGTAGGACGAGACAACATCGCATGTTATGAGCATCAGTGCATGCCTCTTTCATTAAGTTACTCTGCTTTTTAAATTGCATAATCATGTCCAAATTTAATAACGTTGCAGTGGCTCATAGAAGCATCTGAAGAGGAGGATTGAGATTCTTGTTAAGATTAAGATGTTCCCTGTAGACATGCATTTTATCTTACAATGCCAGCTGACTTCAAGGACTTGTACACGAGCTGCCAGAATCCGCCGCCTTTGAGAGATGGTACAAATCATAGAACCAATTTTTTACTTGAAACCTTTTTCCATGTACTGTTGGATATAGCATAGGTCTGATCTTAGTATCTTTCATTAAAACTCCCATCTGCATTTTTGTAGCTTTCAGTTTACTTGCTGAGTTGCTGTTGTATTATCGTTTATATTTTCTATTGTCTGGAAGCCCAATTTGGTCAGGTGTTTCTCTTGTTGAGAATGGTTTTTTACTAGATAAGCAGCTATAGCTACCTGTATGAAGGTATACTTAATCTTCAATAGTTTTTTTTTTTTTTTTTTTTTTTTTTTTTTTTTTTTTTTTTTTTTTTTTACCAGTTTTTAGTGTGAGATTGATGCCAAAAGTCTTCTCAGTGTAAGAATATATATTTCTGCAGGCGATATTTGAATGTTCATTTTCTTACATATATCTCTAAAATCTAAATTTTAATGTAACTCAATTCGTTTTTAACTAGAATGAAAATTGTGATTGTATGATAATTGTATCAAATGTTTATTTTTTGTGTTATATATTTTTCACTTTCTTTTTAATTGTACCCTACATTTTTTTCAATTGACCATTTTTTAAAACATGAATCTTTAATTAGAATAAAAATTTTGTTAATGGCGTAAGTGGCCTTCAGTGCAATATCTTAAAAAAAAAAAAAATAATTCTACCCTCAAAATTTCCCGAATGCTAATTCCAATCTCCCTATATAAAATACAAGTGCATGTGGGCATATATATATACCCGCATGTGAAGTACCACTCGCACCTGATTCCTTCTATATATATATATATATATATATATATATATATATATATATATATATATATATATATATATATATATTTAACTGGCTACTTATATTTAAAATTCTTGATGAATTTTTTCAAAATGTGATGAACGAAAATCACAAAAATAAGAAGTATAAAAGTTAGTTACTAACTATGATATTTCTTATAGTCGATAATAAATTGACTAAAAGTATTTTCTTCCCAAGAAGAAAGTATGAAAGTATATTATCATGCCTAGTAATGTTATATGAGATTGGGAAACTCAAATATCGTTTCCTAGAAGGAAATCTTCTATAAGTCCCTCTTGAAAATGTCCTAAATATATCTTTCAGTACGTTAAATAGATAAAAGACTATCTAGATAAATGAGGATATTTTTGGGGACCAGAAGTCCATTACTTCATCGCTAAGTGGATATATTTGAAGGATAGTAGACAAGTTATATAAATATTTGGCCCACGTATACTCCTGAAGAGTCACAAGATAATAGTATAAAATGATAAGTAACAATCATGAAAATTGTACCATATCCCTTCTTTACACATTTTGAAACAATGACTTTATTTTAAGCATGTAGAACTTGAAGATTGTTATCTTCAGGGCGAGATGGGAAGTACATTCACTCGAATCAATCCTGTAAATTGGGTCTTAAAAAAGACTAACAGTTGTACTTTTTACAACATATACATTTTATGTACCCTTTTCCTCACTAGCCTTTTCTCATTGGGTTTTTCTAGTGTGGGTTTTAACGAGGCATGAGTATGATATAGTAATGACAATGTGAAAAATTAAAGTTGCAACATAATTACTTAAATGGACAAACTCCAAAATCCTGAAGATTATGCCCTGAAAGTCTATGGTTGTACTCTTTTTTCCTTAACTAAGTTTTTCCCACGGGTTTTCTTAAGTTAAGGTTTTTAATGAGGCGACCAATACAATATATATATATATATATATATATATATATATATATATATATATATATTTTCCCACGTGGTTTTCTAGTGAAGTTTTTAATGAGGCATGAATATATTTTCTATTGTACTCTTTTCTTGTCTAGATTTTTTTCACAAGGTTTTCCTAGCAAGTTTTTAACGAGGCAAGGTCATGGACAAATAATGTCCAAGGGAGAGTGTTATAAATAGGCAAATTATTGTGTGGACTATGGTCCACATAGTGTTATATGGACCATAAAAGAAAGTACATTTTAATATATTAAAAGTACATTATTTGTGTATTGAATGTACATTATATAAAATAATGTACATTCAGTACACAAATAATGTACTTTGTCTGAATACAAAATACATTTTTAATATACTAAAAGTACATTATTTTTTAACTAAATATACATTATTTTATAGTATACAAAATATGGTCCACATAGACAATAATGATTGGTTATAAATATATCATTATGTGAACATTATTATAGATTATATAATAGTTGTAACGGTTTCTGTACTTATGTCTCCATTATATCTTCCGTTACATTTGTATTCTATATATTGAGGTATTGTGGTTGTATGATGACAGACAGATGAATGAATAAGAGGTTTTCTCTCTATTCTGTTTTCCTTGTAACAGTATTATTATTCTTATTATTCATCTTGCCTTGCCCAAATAGCATTGTCAAACGAAAGACGAAACAAAATTTTCAAAATTACCAAGTAGATTTTGATTATTGATATTCCATGACTGAAACTTAGATGGAGCTTGGAGGTAAGGAAAATTTTGCTTTTGATTTCACATTGGAAATAGATGGATGGATACATTCACAACTCAATTCACTCATATGAGTTGGAACATAAATTATGCACTCGAAGAAGGAAAATTATGCACCCGAAAAAGAAGAAAATGCATTTGAAGAAGAAAAAATAATGTACCCAAAGACGAAAAACATCTTAATTTACATAATATTACTATAATATCACTGTATTTTTTAAATTTATCTTCATTTTGAACAAGATCAATGGCTGTGATTTAACCCTATTTTTTACTTAAGTGATCCTCCGTGTATATGCGGTCGGTGCGGCATACACCATTAGGTATGCATAAATGCACCACACAGTGTTCGAAAATACACCATTATGTGTGGTGTATTTTTTGTGTGTGGTGCATATTTTGGCATTTCATTCTGGTGTATTCTCGAACACTGTATGGTGCATTTATGCATACCTAATGGTTTATGCCGCACTAACCGCCCGGGAAGATATGTTCTCACTGGAACCAATATATATATATATATATATATATATATATATATATATATATATATATATATATATATATATATATATATATATATATATATATATATATAAAGTTGAGTTCAAATGAGGACCACTATATTATAGAGGACTGTGCGGACTGGTGTAGTCGTGTGCCACAGTTTGTATGTCATGTGCATATGTTTGTTAATTAATAGAGCATGAGTTCAAAACCTGATGTTTACATGTATTCTTGTGTGCCATTCTGTATTAAATTGTGTGCATGATACTAATTTGTTGTGTGCCCGTAATCAGTCCGCACAGTCCTCTATATATTGTGGCCCTCATGTGAACTCAACCATATATATATATATATATGTGTGTGTGTGTGTGTGTGTAGAAACTTACTCAGGTGTGAAGATGAGGTTTAATCTGACCCGTTGATCAAATCTAGATCAACGACTCAAATCAATGAATTTTTTTTTAAAAGGCGTGCCCTAAACTTTAAGAAGCAAACTATAAAAAACAACATACCTTAAGAATTAAAACAACTCACCTTAAGAAGAAAAACAAAGCGCATTAAGAAGGAAAACAACGCACTTTAAGAAGGAAAATAACGCACCTAAAGCTTTAAATCGACGCACCTTAAGAAGGAAAACAACGCACCTAAAACTTTAGGCCGACGCACCTTAAGTTTCAACAACTGACGCACTTTAAGCACACAAACCACGCACCTTAAGAAGGAAAACCACGCACCTTGAGAAGGAAAACAACGCACCTAACGTTTTAAGCTGACCCACCTTAAGTTTCAACAACTGACGCACCTTAAGCACACAGACCACGCAACTTAAGAAGGAAAACCACGCACCTTAAATTTGACCTAGATGCAAAATTACCAAATTGCCACCGCATTTTTTTTAAAATCCTTGTTAATCCTGGACGTTGATCTTGGCAAGACCAATGACTCTCATCTCACCCCACGTTTGCACCTAAGCACACCATACATACATACATAAATACATACATACATACATACATACATATATATAGTATATTGTATTTAGTGACATTTGAAAATTTAGTCCCAAATTATCTTTTTTATCATTTAACACCCTAGACTGTCATATTTTAGGCAAAGGTATTTTGTCTATTAAATTTTTTGTTTTTCAATGATTTAATTTCGGAAAATACTTGGTGTACTCCTATTTTAAACTCCCAACTTGTACTCCCCCTCACATGCTCTTGATGTAGACATTTTTTTGTGGACCCACATGATGAAAATAACCAATCCTGGATTGCCACCTTAGGGAGTATAAATGAGGGAGTAGAATTTTGGGAGTCTATGTAGTAAAACTCTTTAATTTTAGCAGAGGTTCATTTTCTTGGGTGGCAATTCCAAATTTAGTCCTAGACAATGATTTTTGCTATTTTAACAACCCATACTATCATATTTTGGCAACTTTGGTCCTTCCGATGACTTTTTCATGTGAAACCCTATTTTAGGCAAAGCCATTTTTGCCTGTTCAAATTTTTATTATTAAATTTTCTGATTTTCTGCGCCATTTTTTTTTCGTTTCTTCAGTCGTGGATTGCACTATCTCCTTCACCCAACACTTGTTTTAACATCCTTCATCCCGATGTGAAGGACAATGAATGGTGGATGGAGAAGAAAAAGAAGAACTCTACTTTTATTGATAGGGATGTCAATTTCAATCCGCCCCGTGGATATTCACCCGATGACCCGAATCCACCCCGTATGGATCGATTTTTTTTTTTTTTTTTTGGGTGGTAGTGGGTGATGGGTCGGGGTGTATATATATATATATATATATACACACACACACCGACCCATCACCCACTACCACCCCCCCCAAAAAAAAAATGATAAGTGATAAGTGTAACTTCGTGTAACTTTTTACTATTTTTACATCTAAACTACTAAGTTTATTTTTAAAAAATAACAATTTAGTTATTATATTTAAATATTTCTATTATTTTATGTTTTTGTATAACTAATGAATTTTATTATTTTATTATGTATAAGTAATTTAAATATTATTTTTTAAAAAAAATTAATAAGATGATAAGTGATGGGTACCTGCAGTGGGCATCCGCACTCAATGTAGGTGGGGTGGATTTTGAAAAAGTTCACCCGATACGGGTTGGGGGTGGGGGTGGAGTGGATGAATAAAATTTAAAGTGGGTCGGGTGATGGATGTAGCCCTTCTCAACCCACACCCGACCCATTGCCATCCCTAGTTGTTGAGCTTTGCGATGGAGTAAGATAATT